TCACAATAACATCCACAATAATAATAATATTAATAATATTAATAACAATAATAACAATAATAATAATATTAATAATAATAATAATAATAATAATAATAATAATAAGCTCTCTTCAGAAGAAGTGACTGTCAGATGTTTCCTTGCTCTGTTAAACAGAACTTATAAATATTAAAAAAGAGTAAAATGATTGACAGCAGGGTGAACAGTTTTGCCTGAGCCTGTATGCTCATGTTGTTCTCTGTATGTCATATCAGCAGAGCCTGGATATTCAGAATCAGTGAATCACTGTGAAGATGATCCATGCTGCTTTTACCCCTAATTAAAGAATGTGTGATGATATCAGCGGTTTACATTTAAGCACACCTTCAACTTCACTTACAGACTCACAGTGTGTGTGTGTGTGTGTGTACACTTGAGTGAGTAAGAGTGTATGCCCACAAATGTGTATAAGCAACTGTGTACATGTCTGTGTGTGCGTGCGATTGTGTGTGTGAGCGTGTCTGTGTAAGTGTGTGTGTCTATATACAGTACGTGTGAGTGTATATGTGAGTGAGTGTGTCTCTGTATATGTGTGTGTGTCAGACTAAGTGTGTGTGAGAGTCTGCGTGTGTGTTTCTGCTGTAGAGATGAAACGCTGGAGGTCTTTTAGCATTCAGAAGTGTTTGTCTGTTCTCCTGCAGGTGAATCACAGCCAGAGCTGAACACATGTATAATGCAGAGCTGCACATCAGCTGCCTAAACACACACACACACACACACACACACACACACACACACACACACACACACACACACACACACACACACACACACACACACACACACACACACAGCTTTGTATTCAAATGAAGTGAGATTCTGGCTTAAACTAATGTCTGCTAATTACATATTTGTATGATTGATTGAGACTCATCATGAACACAACAGCTTTATGGACATCATATCTGACAAGTTGTCAAGAATATCTCCTTTCTTCTTTAAGCAGCACTTGGGAAATATTTAAAAAAAGAAAAAGGAGTGTAAATAACATCGTCTTCAACTGCATATTATTAACTTTATTTATAATATATTGCCTAATATTTTGTCATTATTTGTGCACATGTGTATGAGCGCTCCGATCTGGTGGAGTTTATTCTATTTGCACATGTTAATTAACGCTCTGACCTGGTTGAGTTGCCCCATGGCTGGTCCGGAGACGTTGGCGGTGTGGCATCTGAAGTTCAGGAGTGTGTTGTGTTGAGTTTTGCTGTGTGTGTGAGCGGTGGCGGACACCGGGGGCAGAAGAGGACGCTGCAAAACTGAACACAGCAGAGACACAGGAGACGCCGGACGCAGAAGAAGAGCTTCCAGAGCGATGTTCACTGAGACCTGCACACACAAGCACACACACACACACACACACACACACACGTAAAAAGTCAACAAACAGCTGATATTAAAGTCAAACAAAATCAACCAAATAAAGTAAAAATAAATCCTAAAATAAAATACAATAAAAGAAAAAAATTAAATGTAATTTAATTTATAAAAAAAAATATTGCCAATCTAAAAATCTAAATTACATTAAAAAATTTATATTATTTCTAAAATAAAAGTATAACAAAAAAGACAGTCATCAATTAACTAGCAATTAAAGTAAAATAAATGAATAAAAACTAATCTTTCCAAAATAAAAAAAAACATCATTCCTAGAATAAAACTAAATAAAATGATGGCAAAAATCCTAGAATAACATATTATTGCTGAAATGAAAATAAAATATTGTTCCTAAAGTAAAATAAAATGAAACAAAATAATTTTATAAAAAATCCCACATTATATATATAATAAATAAAACATAAAAAAGTTAAATAGAATAACAAAATAAAATTAAATAATTATTGCTAAATTAAAAAGTCCTAAAATAAAGTAAAATGAAATAAAATAAAATTATTAAAAAAATCCTACATAATAAAATATCAGTCTAAAAATGTAATAAAATACCCTAAAATTAAATTAAACTAATAAAACAAAACTAAATAAAAAAATAAAACTAACTTTTTGTAAAAATCCTAAAATAACTTAATATATTATTACTAAAGTAAAATGATATTAAATAAAATAATTCACTTTAAAAAAATCCTACATAATAAAATATTAGTCCTAAAATGTAGTAAAATATTGACCCTAAAATAAAGTAATAAAAAACTAAATAAAAGTAAATATAAAAAATTAAAACAAAATATTAGTAAGAATCCTACAATACCATATTAATGCTAAAATCAAATCAAATAAAATATTATGACAAAAATGTAATAAATTATTATTACAAAATAAATTAAATAAATAAATAAAATAAAAAATAAATAAAAATAAAAATATATAATATAAAACAAAACAGAATAATTATTATTCTGTTAAAAAAAATAAAATGAAATAAAACAAAAATTCTTTTAAAATCCTACAATAAATTATTAATCCTAAAATGTAATAAAATATTGTTACAAAAGATAAATTAAACTAATACAACAAAATATTAAAATAAAATTAAGTAAAATAAATTTAAATATATATTAATAAAACAAAACAAAACAAAAAACAAACAAACAAAACTATAAAAAACAAAACTAAAAAAACTGCAAAAAACAAAAACAACAAAACACAAAACAAAAAACAAAACAAAAACAACAAAACAAAAATATAAGTAAACAAAAAGTAAAACTATAAAAAATAAAGTAAAACTAACCAAAAAAAACTAACCAAATACAAAACAAAACAAAAAACAGCAAAAAACAACAAAACACAAAACAAACAAAAAACAAAACAACAAACGAAACTAATCAAAACAAAACAAAAAAGATTGAAGAGATTTTCAGTTCACACACAAACACACACACACACACTTGAACACACACACACACACACAAACACAAACACACACACACACACCATCATCATCATGACCCAGTTTCCTCACACTAATTACTCACTGCAAAATAAACATCCCTTATTGTGTGTGGTTCTGCCGGGCCACTTAAGGACTGATTATGAAAATACTGAAAGACTAAACAAAGACTCCATTAACACCCAGTAACCTACATTATCAGAACAACAACACAGCAGCAAACGTGTGTGAGATTACGTCAATATTTCCACGTTTAGCGGCAGAAATCCACCTGCGGATGCTGAAATACAGACTGTGTTTATTCATTTAAAGACTAATGAATCCCACGACTCCACGATACAGCAGGGGATAAATCAGCATTTCACCAGCCTCTTTTAATTAGTGTTTAACAAGCAGATCTCAGGAGGAATTCACCCTAATTTCACTAAATAAATGTGTTTTTTAAATGAAATAAGCATGTATTCCCTGTTGAATACTGTCCTGCAGTGAATAACGTTAATTTAAAACACTAAATTTCATCCACACTTAAAGCAGAACACAATGGAAGTCAATGAGACGTGACATTATTTTGTATATTTTCATTTTTGAGTGTGCTGTCACTTTAATTTAATCCAAAGTACACTGAAAGCAAAATACAATGGAGGTCAATGAGAACAATCAATTGTGTATAGTTTTATTTTTGAGTGTACATTTACTTTAATTTACTACACAGTACACATAAAGCAGAATACAATGGGAGTCAATGAGACAAAACATTGCAAGATAGTCTTATTTAAGGTCTTATTTTTGAGAATACGGTCCTTTTATTCCAACTAAAGTACACTGCTAGTTGCATTCAGTGTATAAATAGTATAAAGTGTATAAATAATAGCAGCAGAATGTGTATAAATGCAGAAAAGTGAGTGTTTTACCTTGGAGAGGACGGAGGAGTTGTGGAGAGCCAGATCTGCTATTCTCTCCACACACTGGACGATTCGTGTGCAGGCGCGAGCTTCATTCTGGGCCATCCATAACACGTGCTCCTCCACCATCATCACATCACTGGCCACATCCAGCAGAAGATCTGACAACTACAAACAAATATTATTAACAATAAAAATAAACAACACTTCATCATCATATTCATCATCATCATCATCATCATCATCACCACCATCATCATCATCATCATCATCATCATCATCACAATCATCATCATCACCATCATCATCATCATCATCATCATCATC